TGAGGTATATTGCATGCATTTTCAACTTACAACTTTTTAAAAATTAGGATGGGCTTATCCGGATATAACCCCATTATAAATTGAGGAGCTGAAACCTCTGAAAAAGTGAGCCAAAATAAACTTTTTCTCCTTATAAGTGATTATTTCAAATGTTTTGTCACAATGACAGAAAGCTTACAGAGTGGAGACATTTTCCCCTGAAGGAAGCAGATCTGGCTTAGGACAGCTCATTTCTGTCCAAACCCACAAGATAGAGGAGCCTCTTCATATCTCAACTCTGAAGATCCAGATGGCCAACACTGCTGCTGCCAGGGCACCAAAACATCATCCCCCACGGTACAGAATGCTGCCCTTCAATCCACCACTCGCTCAGAGGCTGCCCTGGGTCACAGAGGCCCTTTGCCAGCAGAAAGACCAAAGCCAGGTCACATGCTATGTCTTGCTGAAATTGAATTGGTGTTTTGGAAGGTCAAGTGGAGGAACTGATCTATATTACACAGAAAAAAAAGAAAGAAAGAAATCTAATGAATGTAAGTGATATCAAGGCCAGAGCCCAGAAATGGTCTAGATGGAGGAAAAGGCTGTGAGAAGGAGGAAAAAAAGAAACAGCAGAAAGTTTCCTACAGCTAAGGAAGAAGTGGGCTTGAATGGAAAGGGCTCCCCAAGTGAATCCTCGTGGACTAATATCATCCAGACATACCCTGGTGGAATTTCTGAACTCTAAGAATGGAGAGAAAATTGTACAAGACTCCAGACAAGGATTAGATTTTTGTACCAAGGTAAAACAGATAAGATTAGTATCAAACCGCATGTCTGCAAGCTGAAAAGTGTAGCTGGAACAGTGTTAGCAGAGTATAGCAAGTAAGGATGCCATCCAAAAAATATTCTGTGTGAGCAGAAGCCATTTCCCAGACATAGAAGGATTATCTGCAAAATGACCTTAGCAATTATTCTAGTAAAATAAAATGAGATTGTAACAAATCCAAGAGAAAGAATGCACAAAGTATAAGAAGCAGTGGTGAGCAATGAATTGAGTAATTACAGCCCAAGTCCACAGTTGGTGGTAATGTTGTGTACCTGGAATAAATCCTCCTGAAATTGTTTGAAGCCTTGAACAGGAAGCAGTGGCAGAAAATAAACTCCTGGTTCTCTTCTCAGTCTCCTACGATACCACCTCAGTGACTGTGTTAGCTTTACATTACCATTCCAAATACCTGGATAATCACCTTATAAGAAGGAAAGAGTTCTTTTAGCTCCCATCCATGACAGTTGGCCCTGTCACTCTGAGCCCGTAGCAAGGCAGCACATGACGGTGGTGAGCATGTGACAGGACAAAACATTTGCCTCATAGCCAGGACAGGAACCTGGGAGGAGGAGGAAGGGGCTTGGGTCCCCATGTCCCCTTCGGTGTGCTCTTCTGATGGCTGGAGGACCTCCTACTAGCCCCATCTCTTGAAATTCCCACTGCCTGCCAGTAGCACCTCAGGCTGGGGACCAAGCTGTTAAGACAAAGGCCACTGGGGGACACTACCTCAACCGTAGCAGCGATTTACTTTTTAAAAACCTAGATGATGCACTCATGGAATGGAGGGCCATTCCACATTACTGTAGCAGGTATATTTTAGTCCTTAAGTCTTATATTCACCTAAAAGATGTTTTATATAGGGGTAGGCACATACACATCTAAGACTGTACATATGCAGATTTTATCTTCAAAATGACATAGAATTTGAAGTGAAGGTGATGAGACACTGTGTACTATAGTTTGTTCTTTGACAAGAATGTGAATGTAGTTGTCCCTTGGTATCCTCCAGGGATTTGTTTTTGGCTCCTTTGAGGATATAAAACCCCAAGGATGTTCGTGTCTCCTACATAAAGTGGCACAATATTTGCATAGAATCTATGCACGTCTTCTCATGTACCTTGTCATCTGTAGATGACTTGTAATATCTAATACAATGTGAATGCCATGTAAATAGTTGTTATACTGAATTTTTAGGAAATTATGACAAGATGAAAGACCTGTGTGTGTTCAGTAAAGATGAAGTGTTTAAAAAATATCTTCAGTTTGCATTTGGTTGAATCCATGGGTGAGGAATTGTGGATGAGGAGGATGTGTGTATCTGCAGTGCACCTGGCCTGGGGTCAAGCCATGGGGAGATACAGAAAGCTGTGGAGATAGGATCACTCCCCAAGTAGTAGGAACTGTGTGCTCACCTGCCAATAGCTGCTGACGCCATCTGCTCTTCGCCATCCTGACAGTCGAGGCATGGACATCGGAGGTCACCAGTTGGCGTGGCCTTCAGCACATGCTTCCAAGGGGTCATTCCGGGGAATGCTGTTTCCAGAGACTGTGTACAGAAGAGTCGTGGTTGCGGGGTTCTTCATAGCACGCCTGCAGCCTGTCCTTTGCGGTTGGCTGTTCTCTGGGAATATCAGGAGCCTGCTGGCCAGTCATGTCTTGTCCCTAAGGGAGCTCGTCGTTCTCCACGTGTCCTCAGCTTGTAGTGTATGGCGAATGTTGAGCCCCCAGTGTTCTTCTAGGGCACAGGTCTTTGGAATTCTCTTGCCCATTCAGGGTTTGGAATGGAGTGACTCTAGAAGACATTTGAGCCCTACTGGGTCCTTCTGTTTGACAGTTTTCCTGGCGTAGGACACCTTGAAGTCAGTGGGCCACTCTGGGGAGGTGCTGTGAACTTGCAGCATTCCAGTGCTGCTACCAAAAGACTGCCATTCCCGATCCCCTCCGTGGCCCAGGAGCGAAGGCTGATCCTGCCAGTGGCGAGTTTCTGGGGCATGACTTCATGTGCTGGAGGCATGTGTCCCCATCAGTAACTGTGCTCGCACTCCGAGCCTCGGTACTGGATGAGGACGAGATAATGACCGCTTTCTCAGTTCTTCTGAGAATGTTCATAACGCCATGACTGTGACCATCTGGTAAGGCCATTTCCTGGCGAGATATGTTTTGGGCACTGCTGCAAGCCAGGCTTCTGTGTGAGCACTGTGGGAGATGCAGGATGTGAAAGCCCAAAGTTTTCGAGCTCCCTGGGGACAGGATTGATGAAAGAGGATGCGGGGGACGTGAGCTCAGAGCCTGGGCAGTGACTACCCCAGTGTCGCCAGGGGCAGCTCCCTGGCTTCACACTCTCCGTCTGACCCCAGGTACCATGGTTTCCTCTGTCTCAGTACCCCCTGGGCCTTCCTCTCTCATTGCCACTATTCTAATTTAAGATCTCTTTTCTTTTTTAAATATTTGTTTCATTGTGGTAAAATAGGCATATCTAAAATTTACCATCTTACCATTTTTCAAATTCTAATTTTTTCCTTTTCTTTTTCTGCACGGTACTACAGGACCTCACACTGAGCTATGTCCCCAGCCCTTTACTTTTCATTCTCTTGAGACAGGTTCTTACTAAGTTTCTGGGGCTGACCTGGAACTTGCCATCCTCCTACATCAGCCTCCAGAGTAGCTGGGGTCACAGCTGTGCGCCAGCATGCCGAGCTAAATTCTCATTTCTTTACTGGACTACTGGAATGCGCTTTAAAAAAAAATAAGTAACTATGACGCATGTGTAATGTAAAAGTCCGGTTTAAAGAATAAAGTGAACAGTTGGGTAGCAATTCAGCATAAAAACATAGAACCTTGCCCAAATGTTTTAACACCCTCTTTCACTTTTTCCTGACCCTAGCACCTCCCTTGTCCTAGAAAGTCCGAGGAGTCTTTTTACCGGTCTCCTTTCCTCTAGCCTCTGACCCCCATAATCTCCATGCTGGGTATGGTGGTACATGCCTGTAATCCCAGCTACTTGGGAGGCTGAGCCAGGAGGATTACAAATTCAAGAACAACCTGGGCAATTTAGCAAGACCCTGTTTCCAAATAAAAAAGTACCAAAACATCCAGGGATAGTAACTCAGTGAAGGAGCACCCTGGATTCAGTCCCCAGTACAGGAAAAAAAAATCCAGTCTGTTATGCCCTGTGACTCCACTTGGCTTGGGGAATAAAGCAGACTGCTGTGCAGTGGGGTCCAGCCTCTCCCACGTGGACCTGGGGTCACACACCTTGCAAGCTGCGGTGCATCCTGGGCTCTCTTCTTCCTGGAGCTGCGCTGCGCTGTGCTGCCCTCCCTGATGCTGGGTGCCTGTGCCGAGCTTCCCCGGGCCTTGCTCAGCTGAAGTGACCCCTGCACACCTCATCCCTCCGTGAATAGTGTCTGCCTTGGAGTGGGGAGGGGAGAACAGGATGGGGCCGGGCACTGAGGTGGTCATCAAGGAGCTATGGATTTATTTAGCCCTTGTCTTAATATACAATTTTATTTAAAATGTATTGTACAGTAAAAGCAATACATGCACATGGTTTAAAAAAAGTTGGAACAGTATTTTAAAATATAGAAACATACCAGCCCTCATCTTACATGGAATCCCCCCAGTCCCCTTCCCAAGTGTGCTTTATTTATTCATTTATTTTTATTTCACTTTACTTTTAGTTGATGCATAGCAATGGTACCAGTTCTAGGCTGCAGTGTGATGTTTCAGAACAAGTGCACCTGGTCAAGGCTTAGCCTGGAGAAGTTTGACGTGGCTCCTCGTCCCCCACTGTTATGTCCTTCTGGATGAATGGTTTTTCTTCTCTCGATTGAGAGCAGCTAACCTGATCTTGTGATGCTTTGTCTTGTCGCCCGGGCTGCTCCTAATGGAGTGGGCATTGTAGGGAAGTCGCGAATGCCCTGAGTCGAGGGCTGAAGTGGGCGTCCTGTGGTTGTGGATCCGTCTCCTCCCCACCTCCCTTAAGCTCTGCTTGTGTTCCTTGCCGTGTCACACGTTGTTCCTGGCAGATGAGGCCGCCCGCTGGGATGTCACAGCCTTTGAACAGATGTGCATTCACACTGCTCTGAGCAAGCATGGTGGCCAGGCACTGTGGTGGCTGTGGAGCAGCTGCGAGCTTCTCGGATTGGCTGTGATCTCCGGGTTCTGACTGTTCTTTCCGATGTTCCTCCCACAGTGGCTGCCTGCAGGTGATGATGGCCGCCTGAGCATCTGCCATGGCCCACCGGAACCGCCAGAGCACTGCCAACAGCATGCTTGACCACAGGGCCAGGCCAGGCCCCGTCCACCATGGCCAGGAGCCCGAGAGTGAGGATGCGGAGCTGCCCTTGGAGGGCTATGGGCCCTCGGGCCTAGAGCTGGCCACCCTGAGGCCCGAGAGCCCCACGCCCGAGCAGCAGGAATGCCACAACCACAGCCCTGACGGGGACTCCAGCTCTGACTATGTGAACAACACCTCCGAGGAGGAGGACTATGACGAGGGCCTCCCCGAAGAAGAGGAGGGCATCACCTACTACATCCGCTACTGTCCAGAGGATGACAGCTACCTGGAGGGCATGGACTGCAACGGGGAGGAGTACATGGCCCACGCCCACGGCACGCACCCCGTGGACACTGACGAGTGCCAGGAGGCTGTGGAGGAGTGGACAGACTCGGCAGGCTTGCACCCCCACGGCCATGGGGCTGAAGGCAGCCAAGACTACCCTGACGGCCACGTGCCCATCCCGGAGGACGAGCCTTCCATCCTGGAGGTCCAGGACCCGGAAGAAGGTGGCCACTACTGCTCCAGCAAAGAGGGCTACCAGGACTACTACCCCTCAGAGGCCAATGGGAACGCGGGCAGTGCCTCCCCCTACCACCCAAGGCATGGGGACGGGGACCTGGAGGACCAAGAGGAGGACATCGACCAGATCGTAGCCGAGATCAAGATGAGCTTGAGCATGACCAGTATCACCAGCGCCAGTGAGGCCAGCCCCGAGCACATGCCCGACCTGGGGCCCGGGGACTCCACAGAGGCCTGCACCACCAGCGAGGCCAGCCGGGGGCCCAGCCTGCACGAGGCCAGGCCCAAGTCGCTGAACCTCCTTCCCGAGGCCAAGCACCCCGGAGACCCCCAGAGAGGCTTCAAGGCCAAGATCAGGACGCCAGAAGAGAGACCAAAGTGGGCCCAGGAGCAGGTAGGTGGTAGCTGTCCCCAGGGAGGGAGCAGAGGGCTTTCATGAGCTGTGGCAGCACCTGTGGCCCCACCGGTGCTGGAGCTGGGCCGTGAGGTGGTGTAGTGTTAGTGGGGAGGAGTGGGGTGCCGTCCAGTTCACAGTGCGCAAGTTGCTCTTCATTGGCTCAGTTACGTGGACTTTTCTGAATGTTCTGGCCACTCTTAAGGTCCCCCCTGAGATTCAAGGGACACAGGAAAGTCCCATAGTGAGCTGATTGGCAGCTAGTGTCTCCCCACCCTGCAGAAGGTTCAGTTTCCGGCCCGCTGCCCTGAATCTGCTCATGGCAGGAGAGCATTGAGTGATGACCCTCGGCTTCTCAAGGTGGCTGCCTCTGCCAGCATGGCGTTGGTGAGGTGGGGCTGCTGGCCTTTATGCGCTGCCCCAGCCAGGGTGAGGGGCGGAGGCCTGAGTGTGTCTCACAGTGGGCCCTGCATCTGGCTTCCCTGTCTCTGAAAGCCCCAGGCCCTGCCCCAGTGGGCAGATAACTATGAAAAGCAACTGTTTTGAAAATAATTATTTAAAAGTTTGATAAAGTCTTGGAAAAGAAATGAATGCTAATGTGGGCAATGGTTGTAAAAATAATTATATATTTTTTTAACTAAAGCAAAGTAAACATGTATTCTTTTTTTTGTCCATTAAGTTTATTGGTACATTTTAGGTATACAGTACAGTTACATTCATCATTGGGATCTTGTACCATTACACGAGTCTCTTGGTTCTTATTTTTTCCCCATTCCCCTGCCCTCCCTTCACCCCCTCCACTTCCTATTTACAAAGACTTTGTTTCCTTTTTTTTCTTTTCTCGTATTTTTTCTCTTCCATTCTGTTCTTTCCCCTACCCCTCCCACTTCCCTTACTCCTTTAGACATTTTCTTCCTATTTCACAATATTAATTATACATTTTGATCCTTATTTACACTTTTAGTTTTTCACACTAGAGAAACTATTTGATGTTTACACATGTGTGTTCTATTTATTTCACATAAGAGTATGGCCTCAGTGTGCATCCACTTAGCTATAAATGCCTCTAGTTTCTCGTTCTTTATGGCTGAGTAGTACTCCGTTTTATTAAAAAAACCCACACCTTCTTTATCCATTCTCCAGCTAATGGGCAATTGGCCTGTTTCCAAGTTTTAGCTATTACAAACTGTGCCACAATAAACATGGGTGAGCATATATTACTGTGGTATGATTCTTTTAATTCTTTTGGGAAGGTACCCAGCAGGGGAATAGCTGGGTCAAATGGGACTCCCAATCCTAGCTGTTTGAGGTATCTCCACATTGATTTCCACAGTGGTTGCACCAGTCTGCACTCCCACAAACAATGAAGAAGGGTTCGTTTCTCCCCACAACCCTGCCAGCATTTGTTATTGGTTGATTTCTTGATAGCAACCATTCTTACTGGGGTGAGGTGGAATCTCACCATTGTTTTCATCTGCATCTCTCAAATGACCAGTGATGTCGAACATTTTCTCATATGTTTATTTGCTGCTTTTACTTTTTTATCTGAGAAATGTCTGTTCATTTCAGATGCCCATTTTGAACTGGGTCTTTATATTTGGGGGGTCTGATTTTCTTGAGTTTTTTATATATTCTAGATAGTAGAACTTTGTCTGAGGAACAGCTGGGAAAATTTTATTCCCACATTGTAGGTTGTCTCTTAGCTCTGTTGGTGGTTTCTCTTGCAGTGCAGAAGCTTTTTAATAAGATGAGACCCCAGTTGTTGATTCTTTATGCTAGTTCCTGTGCTACTGAGGATTTGTTCATAAAGTGTTTTCCTATGCCAATGTCTTCAAGAGTTCTACCTAATTTATCTTCCAGAAACTTTAGAGTTTCTGTTTTAATATTTAGATCTTTAACCCACTTCGATCTTAGTTTAGTGCATGGTGAAAGATAGAGGTCTAGTTTTAATCTTTTGCAAGTTGAAACCCAATTTTTCAAACACTATTTATTAAAGAAGCTATGTTTCCTCCAGTGAGGATGGTTGGCTCCTTTGCCAAAGATGAGGTAGCTGAGTAGGTCTGGAGTTTTTCTGTATCTTCTAGTCTATTGCACTGATCCTTGGGTGTGTTTCTTTGCCAGTACCATGCTGTTTTTATCACAGTGGTTTTGTAGTATAGTTTCAAGTTGGGAATTGTGATACTCCTAGCCATGTCTCTGTTGCCTAGAATTGCTTTTGCTATTCAAGGCCTTTTTTGGTTCCAAATGAATTTTTGGATTGTTTTCTCTAGCTCTGTGAAATATATGGTTGGGATTTCGATCGGGATTGCATTGAATCTGTATAGCAGTTTTGGAAGTATGGCCATTGTCACTATATTGGTTCTTCCTACCCAGGAACAAGGGATGGCTTTCCCTTTTCTTTTTCTTTCTTTCTTTTTTTTTTTTTCTTTTGGTACAGGGGATCGAACTCAGGACCTTGCACTTGCAAGGCAGGCAGCAGCACCACTGAGCTAAATCCCTGGCCCTTTGCATTTTCTTATATCCTCTTCAATCTCTTTTTTAGATGGTTGAAGTTCTCAGTGTAGAGGTCTTTTGCTTCCTTCATTAGATTGATTCCTAGATATTTCATTTTTTTGGATGCTATCGTGAAAGGGATTGTTTCCCTAATTTCTTCCTCAGTGAGTCTGTTATTTGTGTACAAGAAAGCTATTGAATTTTGAGTGTTTACTTTGTATCCAGTTACTCTACTGTATTTGTCAATTATGTCTAGAAGTCTTTTGGTGAAGTTTTTTGGGTCTTCAATGTAGAGTACCATATCATCAGCAAATAATGACAGTTTAACTTCTTCCTTTCCTATCTTTATTTCTTTTATTTCTTTCTCTTCTCTAATTGCTGCAGCTAATGTTTCCAGAACTATATTGAATAGGAGTGGTGATAGTGGACATCCTTGTCTTGTTCCTGATTTTAG